GCTCGAGAGCAGCCGGGAGGGCGATGATTGTCACAATCCTCTGGCTGCGGAGGATGTGTTGGCTGTGGGCGAGCTGTATGACATGCTCAAGACGGGCCAGGGGCTGAGGCCACTCGCGAACCGACTCAAACAGGTGGGTGGCAGACCACAGGCAGCGTCCATCTAGCGAGGTGATGCATTTGTGTGTGTGTGTTTCGTGTATGTTGTCAGGAGAGGTTCACAGGTGTGTCGCTGGGTCACGTGTTGGACTCGCGCCTGCAGCCGGATGAGCAGAGGTGGCTGCGGTCGCTCTTCCGGATCGACCCATCGCGGCCCAATGCTGAGTTGGCGGAGCCTCTGATGCTGAGCAAGGACGTCTGGAGGCTGCTCTCCTTCCTATACGACGGCGGGGGAGACTGAGTTGGCTGAGAGGGGATGCAATTGCCGCATGTTACGTGCAAGTGTCGACCTTCGCATGTATGGTGTGACTAGCTATGCTGTTCGCGTGTGCCGACATGTACGGTACGATGTGTCGCAAGTGGGTGGGGACAGATGGCCAAAAAGATTGGCCCGTGTTGACGTATGGTACAGGATGCATTGTGCTTCGATCTGCGCCTCACATGAATGTCATGGATACGTACATGCAATACTGACGAACACAGTTCGATCCTCGAGGTCAGTTCGATCCTCGAGCTTAGCTTGCAGCTGGTTGTCAGCTTGAGGTCGCTTCGTGATCGTCGTGATGTATTGATCATATCAGCAGTGGGCAGACACAATGGAGGAGACCGATCAATCACCGAACAAGAGGCTGCGGCTGTACTCCCTCGCTTCATACGTCATCTGGCTCATCACTGGCGGCATCTACATCTGGCACTACGGCAGAGTCAAGCGGGCGCCGCTGCCCCATGCCGGCGTCAGAGCTCTCAAGGCACGCATCGACCACTTCCTCAGCGGCCCTGGACTGCCCGCCCAGATCTCTATCTTCCCGGCTTGCGATGATGCAGTCACCATGGCGCGTGGACTTGCCGAGGCGCTGAGAGATCATGTCAGCAAGAACGGCACACGGCGAGTGCCGCCGTTGGTGATTGGTGACGTCGCTGCAGCTGTGTCGGGTGAATGCATGAGCCATAAGGAGGCGCTGGAAGATGCGAGTGGTCATGACGATGCGCTATGGACACAGTCGGGGGCGGACTCTCTGGTGGCTAACTACTCGGTGCTGGTTCGCATCGCATCAGGGGAAGAGGAGCAGCTGCCGGCACTTTACCTGACGCCGGGGACATCCTGCATCGTCACTCTTCCTCAGGGATTTATCAACAGCCCGCAGTGGAAGGGCGTCACCGACACGCTTCTGGCAGCATGGTTCACGACGGTTGGAGAGCCATCTATCCCCTTATCTGCGTCCTACACGCTGGCCTTCTGGACGACGACCGACAGCCCGCAACGCATACGGTGGCCGGGCAGCTTCCACGAGAGTGTGCTGCGGCCTTACCTTAGCCCCTTCCTCTCGCGGCTGTCCACATGCTACTGGCTGGAGATGCAGGCGCAGACCATCTATCACGCATCGCTGGGAGAGCAGCCGAAGCCTCAAAGGGAGAAAGGCACGACAAGGGAGAGAGTGGTGGCCTTCAACGACCTCTCCCGGTTCCTGGCTGCGGCCAATGACTGGACGACCGACGCCGTGCTGACGAGGGGCACACACAAGCCGCCCGTCATCCTCAACCTGGCGTCGATGAAGCCCTCGGGGGCCCCTGTGGTCGTCCTGACCCAGTCGGGCGAGCCGCACACGGCCTTCAGTGTGCCGGGCTGGGGCGTCATGGCCATCATGAGCCACCCTGTCCCTGATGACCAGCTGTCACGCAACGCAACATGGCGCCGACAAGTGGCTCGCAGTGGATATGAGCTGACGGATACCGATGCGCGTGAGACGGCCGGCCTGTGGCTGAGCCACTTTCGGAAATGGCTGGGGTTTCCGAATGTGACTAACACGACCACCCCCATCAACATCGACCACCACTCGCCACCACTGGCCAAGGCGTCGATGGCCGCCCCATCCACTAACGGTATAGCCACGTGGGAGCTGCTGGCTCTCGCCAACACCCTTTTGCAGCTCTTTTTGCGCGAAATCAGCGAGAACCTGACGGCGGTCGAGTCGCTCATTAGCAGCCTGCCCGACCTGACAGTCGAGCAGCGCATCGCAGAAAGCATCAATCACATCCTGCGGATGGCCACAGACGCTCTGAATGCCATCGAGAGGGGCGAGAGGGACCTGGGTCGGCTGCTGGGGGGGATTCGGAGCGGGTATCAGGATAGCGTGGAGACTCTCCATGACGACTCTATGATGGCCGACCTCTACTTCAGCCCCGAGTTCAAATTTGCGGTTTACTTGCCGATGCTGGTGCCGATTGCAGTGCCTGTGCTGCTGACGGCCGGCAAGGAGCTCATGACGTGGCGGAGGGAGAGGGCAGAGAAGACGACCAAGGTGAAACCCGAATGAACGTGCGATGATGGGTGGCTGCTGTTGCTCTCTGTGTGTCGGTGAGGTAGTGGTGTGTGTAGTACTGTGTACATATGTTGCTTGCCGTTTTCGACTCATCCTAGCAGATACATATATATTTGCGTCGAGAGGCCACCTATTTCCATCATATACTTCAATCAATTGTCTGACGGATGGGATGGATGCATGGCATCAGCTGACCGATTCAATTGGTGGTGGTAGCCCGACAGATTGAATGACACTCTGAGTGCACACATTTCTGTCCATCCTTTACCCTCGATCACCCCAGCATACAAATCAAGACAGCCAATCACTGACACCTAAGGCCGCGGTAAGCATCCAGTGAAAATCTGACGAGAAATAAGGCATGCACATGTGATCAAGTGGGTGGCTCGACTATCGCGCCACCGCAAATTGAATCACCATCTGATGAAAGAGACACAAGAGAGGCCAGACACAGGCACAATCCACCTCGGACGATGAGTGAGCGGCTTGCGTGCGACACCTGTTTCTTACCTATGTCAAGAGCCGCGAGCGGATCCATCGCGGCGCTCAACACACATGGCGGCCTCTCCGAGATCCTGATAGGTGTTATCGTGGAAGCTGAGCTTGTACGGGCCGCCACTGAGGTTGAGTGCCGCCTGCTCAGCCAGGAAACGCTGCTGGAAGTGCCCGCTAAGACCGGTGACTGTGATTCTCTTGTGACCCTATCATTCATCAAAAAAGGCAACATGTATACACTCAGGTGTGTAGGTCTGTCTGTCTGTCTGTTGTGCGGGTCACCTTGAGCTCATCATTAAAAGAGATCACCGTGGCCATCACGTGATTGTAAAATGTGTCCGACTTGTCACTTGCGACACCGCCTGAAAATGAAGAATACAAACGGTTGTGTCAGTCAGGCATCCCGATTTCCGATTACCTTGAATGTCGATGGAGACCTCCTCGATCGGCGGCAGCTTGTGGTTGCCCCCTCGTCCCCACAAGCATGGGCTCTGGCCAAATTCATCCTTGAGAGGTGCTATAAACACCTTGGCATTGAGACCTATGCGTACTGACAGGCTCCTCTCCCTCCCCCTGCTGCTCATCGCCGCATGCACGCTCTCAAGAAACCGCCACACCTCACCAGCCGTCACCTGGATTGGGTTGTAGGCCTCTCCCGCGTCTCCTATTTCGATGCGTGACAGGTTTGGCATATGAGAGGCAATCTCCAGCACCCACTTCTTCTTGTCGCTATCCGCAAGAAGAGCACCGTCACCATGAAACAGGGCGGAAGGGTCGTCCCGTAGCCGCAGAGTGCGGGCGGCAGGGAATGTGTCGTCGGTGATAGTGGCGAGTTCCGTCGGCCCATGTCTATAGTTGTAGAACAGCTTGTCGGCGATCTTGGCGACTTTGCCGATGATCTTTTGGACGGTCGGGCTGCTTCTACGGCTCTGCGAGAGGAGCTCCACGTCGAACTCTTCAAAGCTGCCATCGATGTAAGTCCGAAAAATCTGCTTCGCCACCGCATCGGGATGTGCAACAGCATCACTGACGAAACAGAGTAAAGCACGATATGTACTGTCTTGTCTCTCTACATTCTTTGTCTGATTGTCTTACATGAGCTGTGCAGTCCTCTCGCACCGCTCCATAGACTCGGCATTGCTCTTCATCGACCCCAGGTTGACCTCAAGCTCGCGAACAGACCTCTTGACACCCCTCGCCACCATCACCTCACGCAGTCTGTCGATGTCGGCGGGGTCGCTCTCATCTATCCGGACGCATCGCAGTGTGCGAAGCGCCGCCAGCGACTGCCCGTCGGTGGGCAGTGCACTCAGCGCATTGGCCACGCCGGCGCTCCGTCCACCGATGTGGACGCACTCGACGGCCTTGCAGTCCGCCAGCCACGACCTCTCGCCCTCCAGCCCACAGGATCGAGTGGACAGCGTCCTGACGGCGGGTGTGTGCCAGTTGCGGCCCACACGTGCGTCCAGACATGAGTTGCTGTTGTCGATCGTCGTGAGCGCGGGCAGTTGGACGGGAGCAGAGGGGGCGGGCGGCAGATCAGATGAGGGAGGAGGGTACGGGATGTGGACGCCGATATCGAGCTGGACGTCCTCGAATGACAGCTTCTCCAGCGTGCCGTCATCCGCCAACTGGCCGTGGCCATCATCATCAGATGCCGCAGCTGCCCCCTCCCCTCCTGCCCTCTCTATTCTCTTCTTGGCTGCAATGGCCGCTCGGCCGATGGCGTGACCCTCGATGAGACTCGTCCAGGTCCCGCGACACCACTTTAGCGCAGGGCGCCATCCGAAAAGAGGTCCCCAATACTCTTCTGGGTTGCGGTGCTTGATCTCTCGGATATTGGTCGATCTCTTGCCCCACTTGTGTGCCACGTCGAGTGGCATGGTCTCCCACATGTGCCGCGCCTTTTTGTCCTCACAGTCGATGGCCAGGTGGGTGTAGTTGGCGGCCGACTGATGGAAGAGGGGCGTGCCGAGGGGGCGCCAGAGGGGCGTCAGCTCCCAGGGATGCAGGTGGCCAAAGACGTTGGCCAACACGTCGTGGGACAATCGACGACGGGCCTGAAGTGACAAAGAAGGAGGACGCGTTCATTTCTATTTGGCTCTTACCGGGCTTTGGTTGATGGCCGCATTGCCGCTCTTCTTGATCAGACGATACGATGGGCCAGTCCTCACAGCCGCCTGCAATACGACAACACGACAACAGTGACGGAAAATGCGGATCCATGCGCACATAGTGACACGCGGCCATCCATTCGTCTCACCTCAGGCTGAGCCTTTGCCTGGACCGAGCCCGCCGCAGCTGCCTGAATACTCGGTGCGGGCACGTCTGCAGCATTGGTGAGGCTGGGGTCTCCCTGCGGGAGCTGTGCCGCGAGGGTGTTGAGTAGCCCCAGCTGAGAACCGAACGCCAAGCCCGCGGGGGACGCAGCCTGTGAATGAACGAACGGAAAGGGGGCCATGTGCACAAGGTAGGTAGGTAAAGGGCCCTTTCCAGGTGCCTATCAGTCAGTCAGTGAATGAGTGCCTACCTGAGCGGCGATGCTCGCGGGGTCTTGACCCAGGAGGCTTGACAACGTATCCCTTACAGCACGCGCATTCGCGACAAACTGAACGGACGAAATGAAACACGCACCACACGAGAAATCAAAAAGTAGGGTGGTGCGTGTTTGTGCTTGTGTTGCCGTTTGCCTCGCTTTCATCATCATCGCGCCTTCCGTACCTCATTGACGTCCATGGCGAATCAGTGTGTGCATGACGGAAAACAGCGAAAAAACACGAATCTTGGGACAGATAGTTTTTGAAAAGCTCGCACGCTGTCCGATCGGACATTGCGTGAAACCGCTCTCTGTCCGATCGAACTCATCGCACACCTCTTAGTGTGGAGTTCGCTTTGATTCATATGTATCTGCATCAATGGACCAGCTCTCGTCAATTTGTCGTCGCCACATTGCGTGCATGCATACAAATATTGGATAGTGTAAGTCTTTTCGACTTGCTCGCTACTCAATTGTACAGCTAGCTATGGTTAACGCAGTATAGAGGCAACATGTACATATGTATGTATACCACACACATACATAGACCAGCAGGCTTGTACGGTGCGATACGTACAGCTCACAAGACCAGTCAAACAATTTGTCGCCATGATCATCAATCAGTACTTACAATTCAGCCCCATCTCATGCACGCAGCAAGCCATCCAGACCGCCATGAAAGCACTCACGTCAGTGTCATCCAGCCAGCCATTAATTTGCACAGATAAGCACGTGGCCGTCTTCATGTCAGTCACTTATCTGTCTCTATCTACGCCGCAGAAAGTCTCCAGATGTCGTCTGCCCTGTGTGACGTCACGCGAACATGTGTATCGGCACGCGATGACGATCTGACAGACCGCAGCACACACATGCAGACAGGTGTTCGACGCACGTCGGGCGGCAGGTGCGCGGACACACGAGGCGCATTTCTGACCTGTCTACGCAGAGTCGCGAGTGGAGGCATCACGGCGCTCGACACACATGGAGCCGTTGCGGGTATTGAGGCTGAGCTTGTACGGGCCGCCACTAAGGTTGAGGGACGCCTGCTCAGCCAGGAAACGTTGTTGAAACTGAGTGTTCAGGCGCTCCACTGTGGTCCTCTGGTGGCCCTGGAGTGCCACACACACATCGCCACACACATCGCCTGGCACTTTTGTGAGAGTGGTGTGGCTTGGTTTGGCGTGTGGCAAACCTCGAGTTCATCGTTAAAAGAGGTCACAGTAGCCATGACATGCTTGTAGAATGTGTCGGCGTCGCCATCATCCACATCACCTGACACACACACACACGCACACACACACACGCACATATGCGTTGCACTGACACACCGGTCTGTCTCTTCTCGCCTCCCCCTCCCCTCACCATCAATAAGGATACGGAAGTTTTGGATCGCCGGCAAGGCATTGCTGCCGCCGCGCCCCCACAGACAGGGGCTTTCGAGGTTCTGCAGGGGTGCTATCAATGCCGCGGCCGGCAGGTGCATCCTCAGCGTCAGCGTCCTCCCCCTCCCCTGGCTGACCAGCGCCGTCTGCAGCAGCTCGAGGAAGTCCAGCACCTCAACAAAAAGTGCGTCTTCTGTCTCGATGCACGACAGGCTGGGCATGTTGGAGGCGATCTCGACCGCCCGCTTCTTCTTGGCCTCATTGACGAGGGCATGCTGCCGCAGCTGCAGGGTGTGGGCGGCGGGGAATGTGTCGTCGGTGATGGCCACAGGATGCGCCTCGTCATGCCCGCTGTAGGACACCTTGCCGGCCGTCTTGGTGAATTCATCCATGATCCCCTGCATGGTGCGAGTCCCGCTGCCGCGGCGCGAGAGGAGCTCCACGGCGATAACTCCATGCCTGCCACTGTCGCACGCAATAAACGCATCGGGTTGCGCAACAGCGTCACTGCAGAAAAGCACCACAAGACGAGCAGAGCACATGTGATGTACCCCACGTCTACTCTGACCCCTTCTCCTTCTCATGTGTCCTTACACGAGTTGTGCGGCCTTCTGCAATCTCTCCCAGTTCTCGTCTGTGTTGCTCAGAAAAACACCCACGTCGATCTTGAGCTGGCGAATGGACCGGCTGGCGCCCCTTGCCACCATCATCTCACGCAGCCTGTCGACGTCGGCGGGCCTGTCATACTTTACGGTGAGGCATCGCAGGGTGTGAAGGGCCGACAGCGACTGTCCGTCGGCAGGCAGTGCACTCAGCATGCCGGCCGGCACGCCCTCGATCCATGCGTTGATGTCGAGCACTTCGACACCCACACAGTCGGCCAGCCATGACCTCGCGCCGCCCACCTCTTCTTCACCAATGCTGCCTCGGATGGTGAGGGTCTTGACAGCGCGTGTGTGCCACTGGCGGCCCACACGTGCCGACAGGCAATCGTCACTGGGGATGCTGTCGATCGTCGTGAGCGCGGGCAGGTGAATCGGGGCGGTAGGGGCGGGGGGCAGATCAGATGAGGGCAGAGGGTCGGGGGTGGCGACGCTGTCATCGAGCTGGACGACCTCGAATGACAGCTTCTCCAGTGTGCCCCCATCCGCCAACTGGCCGTGGCCATCATCATCAGATGCCGCAGCTGCCCCCTCCCCTCCCGCCCTCTCTATTCTCTTCTTGGCTGCGATGGCCGCTCGGCCGATGGCGTGACCCTCGATGAGACTCGTCCAGGTCCCGCGACACCACTGCGTATCCGGCGCCACAACGATGTCGTCGGTATACTCGGGGCAGCGAATTCTGATCTCTCGGATATTGGTCGACCTCTTTCCCCACTTGTGCGCCACGGCCAGCGGCATGGTCTCCCACATCCGCCTCGCCGTGTCGTCCTCACAGTCCATGACCACTTGAGTGTAGTTGGCGGCCGACTGATAGAAGAGGGGCGTGCCGAGGCGGCGCCAGAGGGGCGTCAGCTCCCAGGGATGCAGGTGGCCGAAGATGTTGGCCAGCTCGTCGCGGGACAATCGACGACGGGCCTGAAAGTGAGACAGAGATACCAAAGTCAAGGTGTGAGGATGGTGTTGTCAGACCCATCCTTACCAGGTCCTCATCGGCCGGAGGGTTGCCGCTTCTGTGGATCAGACGGTACGATGGACCAGGCCCCACAGCCACCTGCCGAAGACAGAGCAAGAGCCACCCATGACACCACGACAACCACAGCAACTAAAAGGTGTATCCATGTGCAGACGATGACCACACACACACGGCTATCCTTCACCTTACCTGTGCCTCTGTGTGTGTCGAGCCCAACGCAGCAGCTGCCTCTGTGGTCGATGTCAGTGCATCTACAGCGCTGGTGAGGCTGGCAGCCCACTGTTCGAGCTGCGTGGTGACGGCGTCCGACTGCAAGGCCATGGGGCCCAGCTGATAGTGCAACAGCCATGCCGCGGGCGACGAGACCTGTCAGCGAAGATACACCACAGTGGATGGCCGGCCCTTCCGCATGCCTCTCGGTCAGTCAATAAGTGTTACCCACCTGTGCGGCGATGCTGGCGGGGTCTTCGTCGAGAAGGTGTGATAGACATTCGATGATCTGTCGGCAGGCAAACATACCATACCCAACAGACAGACAATCTTTTGTCGTGAGGAAAGGATAGAAAGGCGTTCCGGCCGGTCAGTCAGCGCACCTCATCTTGAATTGTCTGCTGGTACAGCAAGCTGTCCAGCACAGCCTGGGCATTCGTCAGAACCTGGGGGACTCAAGCACAACGGACACACCGAGGACTCAAAGATGAAGCGCTCTTTCTCCTTCGCTCTCTTCTGCCCCTCGTGTGCCGGGCTGACCTGATTGACGTCCATGGCAAAACAGAAACGTGTGCGGGCGACTCACAACAAAGTCGCTGACGGGCTGAAACGGCCGTGGACCGCTATTTCCTCCACGCGAGCTCGTTGAAAGTAGTTCACATCGCCGCCCAGTGCTTGTTTGACGAACTGAGCCTATCCCGCAGCACAGCAACAAGACCTCTACCACAACGAAAGACATAGCACAACGAAAGAGTGACGACTGCCTGTGCCGAGAGAGTTTTCCGTCTTGGGGCGGGGCGTTCGGCATGGACAACATGGGGCTTCACGTGGAGAGGTTCAAGCACAAGATCGTCAGAGATCTCGCCTGGGTCATTCATTCCCAGCCTCTCATCTCAGATGGACTCGAAGATCTGCCGGCCCTCTCCCTTTCCGACCTTCTCGACGCTTCATCCACCCTGCAATGGCTCGAGAAGCTCGACAGTGACCCATCCGAGTTGCTCGACTTCCTCGTGCGCAAGCACATCAGGCGCCTGGGGTTTCTGTATCAGTCGCTTCTGGAGTTTGTGTTTGTCCGCTGTCCCTCACTGGGCTGCGAGGCGGTGCTCTGTCAGCAGCAGATTGAAGACTCTGAGGAGAGGGGCCGCGTGATCGGGCAGATCAAGCACGTCATGTGCCTCAATCGAGGGCAGGGCAAGCAGGCCTGGCATGTGGAAAGTGCTATCAAGTTTTATGTCGACTCACGGCTCCTGGACGAGGCGGCAGATGAGAGGACGGGACTGGCCTCGTTTTCTGCAGAGGAGAATGAGAGGCGCTCTTTGCTGCATTTCGTTGGTCCCTTCCTTCATGAGAGCCTCGCGTGGCGCCTTGTGGAGATGAACAGGAAGCTGGAGCTCTGCCGGGCGTCATCGGCCATTCAGGAGGACCTCAAGGTGAGCGTGTCATGCATGATACAAATCGGCAGATGAAGCACACGTGTATCCCTTTGTGAATGGTTGTATGTATCGGCAGGGCCGTCTTGGTGCGTCGGAGGTGTCGTCCGTGACCTTCATCAAAGGTTACCTCTTCTACCGCCTGTATAAGCACACCGACTCTTGCGGCGGGCCCTCCCTCTGCAACCCTCATCACAACAGGGGCTGGTGGTGCCTCGACACAGCCGAGCTCGCCCATTGGGCAGATGGGCCATTCCAGTGGGCCATCCTACCCAAGATGCACTGGATGTCGCCGGTGGTGGCCATCTCAGCGCCCGATCCCCACCGCGTTTATGTCGAAGGCGTGGCTGCGCTGCGGATCCCCGAGCTGACGTGTATGGATTTCGGTGCCCTGATGGCCGAGCTTTCGCGTCTGCGGACGGATGCGCCCTCCACGCCTCATCTGGTGGCACAGCTGCGCGAGAGGGAGGGCGGAATATGGGTGGAGGAGTCGCGTGGGTTCCTGTTACCCAGCGATTGGGACCCGTCGACGCTATGCAACTCACTCCAGCCAATGGGTAGGCAGGCTTCTGAAATTAAGAGAGCCGAGAGAGATGGACTGGACCCCCATTGATTGATTTGTTTCCTGCTGTGCTGTGCCTCTGCCTGGCTGTCTGGGGTGTTGAGGTCTCCGTAACAAGCACGAGAAGCCCGACAACTGGTCCTACCGCTCGCTGCCTCAGCCTGAAGGACCTGAAGGACCTTCTCTCATGCCTCAAGGCAGCAGCGCCAGCCATCCATCCCCCATGTCGATAGGGCGGCTCTTCAACTGCCCGTCTGAGAGCCAGAAGCGGACCCCTGTGTTGCGGGACGCGGCTGAGGATGAGAGTGAGGGCGAGTACCCGCTGTCCGAGTCTCCGCGACCTGGTTCAATGCCACTGCATGACCTGCTGGTCACAGCTGCGGGTGAGGGAGAAGGACCACCCTCTTGGCACAGGCAGTCGTCACTTCCAGGGTGCACTCTGTCTTGCGTTGCGCTATGTCTTTCGTTGTACTGAAGGTCTTGTTGCTGTGCTGCGGGATCGGCTCAGTTCGTCAAACAAGCACTGGGCAGTGATGAACGTCTTCAACGAACTCAAAAATGCGACGGTAGGCCCGTTATGGGTTCTGTCATGTGGCAAGAGGAAGGATTTCTGTCATGGGTTCTGTTTCTGCCACCAGATCCACCTCTTCCACCGTCTTGCGTCGGCACCGTCGTCTGTTGTTGGAGGGCTCGCCACCACACCGACACTGATGGTCCTCGACGGCCTGGCAATCATTGGGGGCATCTCAGACGACCCTCTCGTAGGCGGTGTCCCTCACCACCCAATGGCCAGCGACGGTGAAGCCCTGGTGCGCCCGATCGGCCATCTCCTTCTCGATGCCTTGGCGAGGGCACTGCGGCACTCACGCACACCTAGCCCGAAGGTCAGTGGAGCTGGCGCAGCTGCAGAGGACAACAACCGCCGGAGGGGCGACGGGAGGGAGCCAGCGATGACGTCAGAAGAGAGGGAAAGGGCTGTGGCCGTTCTAGGCCAGCTGCTGAGTATGATTGTCCGCGGCGAGGGCCCTCCAGCCGGCAGGATGTGCGTCAAGCTGGTCATCAAGGCATGCCGTCTCTTCGGCCTACAGCCAGCGTCTCACAACGTCCCTACGCCGTCCTCCCATCACGCAGTCGGCACCCTCACCGACATGGCTTCCTTCGTCGACCGATATCTGGATCAGACGGAGGTCTTGATTCAACCCCAGCTGAAGGCCAAGGAGAGGAGGGCTGGTGCGGTGCAGCGCACCATCACCGAGATGACCAGTGAGAGCGACGTGGTCGTGTTCGGCGATGACCGCAGCGACGGCGATGCGAGGGAGCGGAGGCACAGCAACACGTCGGCGAGTCAGCTGGGCGTGCAGGCCGCGAGTGGAGGCCGCGTCGCTAGTGGCCATCTGCCCGTCCGGGACGCCCTCGAGGTGAGCAGGGACTGAATGAATCACCCGCTACCTATCAGGTTATTTTCTCCCTTTTCGGTCAGGTGCTCAGCTTCTTCAGCTGTCGCCTTGACGATTCTCGTGCCGAGCGGGCGGTTCCACTGTTCGTGGCCCACGCCATCAACCACTACGCCGAGTTGGTGGATGCAACGTCGTCCTCTCTGCAGCACAGCATCTCCCCACATGGGCATCGAGCCGACGATGTGAGGCTCTACCTGACAGCTGCCCCTGCCGACGACCCGGCTCATGACGTCAGCAAAGGCGCCCAGACGATATCGATGCCCCTGGTGGATCGCCTCGTCGCCGACTCCTGGCGCAAGAATCACATCAAGGTGGCGAGACGGATTGCCGCGAGATATGGCGCGTCGCTCGACTCGATGGGTCCTCCGCCCCCACACACGGGGCGGGTCAAGAGGAAGAACCAGACATCGGTCCGCGGCCTGTGCGAGGGCCTGCCTGGGTGCGTCATCGATGCCGAGCGGCAGATGGTGTGGCTCGACACGAGGGAGGGCTTGCGACAGCTATGGGCGACGTTGCAAGAGATGACGGCGTCATTTGGCGAGAGCCCCGCGCCGGTGGGGCTAGACTGTGAGTGGCATCCCCGCAATCGGCTGGGGGAGAGGAGGAGCCCTGTCAGCCTTATGCAGGTTGCCCTGCCCTGCAGCCGTGTGTTTCTGGTGGATGTCTTGACTCTGCGGACCACCGAGAGGGCCATGTTGGGGGAGGTGATTGAGTGGCTGATGCGGAAGTGTGTCGTCGTCGGTTTCTCTGTTAGTGGAGATCTCGACAGGCTCGCACAGTCGCTCGATGGCGTTTTTGTGAAGGAGGTCCCTCGCGTCGTCGATCTGCAGCGCATCTTCAGCTCCCCACACGCGCCTCTGCTGTCCCAGCCTTCAGCCCCTATCTCTGACCCCTCCCCTCCCACATGGTTCGCCCACCTTAGCAAGAGCCTCCAGCAGCCCTTTTTCGGTCTCGACACCATGTGTGCCCTGTACCTCCACCAGCGGCTCGACAAGGCCTACCAGCGGAGCTCGTGGGAAGATCGGCCACTCACCGACGCCCAGAAGGCCTACGCCGCTCTGGACGCCATAGTGCTCCTGAAGATTGCGGCGCGAGTCTTCCCTCTCCGAGACGGCTTCCTTCGCGATGACTCTGTGGCCCTCGACGAGCAGCTGCAGCGGGTGGACATCACCCGATTCTGGTTTGCTTATCGCGCGAGAGCGGCACATGTGCAGCCGACGGGCAGTGGGTCGAGTGAGACGGGGAGGGGCTATGTGTCGGATGAGGCGTACGATGACGACACATGCGAGCAGAGCGAATCGGACGCAAAGACAGCGGAGAGCATTGCTCGGCTGCTGCCCTATGACGTCAGCAGCTTCGCCTACTCGCCCGACCATCTGCATGGGCTGCGGACGCCCGCTGACGTGAGGAGGGCTCTGGACGATCTCGGCCTGGCCGCCACCCCGCTGCTCAAGATCGACCGGGTGTTTGACGGGCCGAGTGGCGATGGTGTGGCATCAGTGGTGCCGGCGGCCTCATACACAATGGTCAAGACAGTCGCCTTTGTGGCAGAGGCGGACGGCAGTGGGGATGGCGACGAGGAGCGGCGTGTGGTCGGGGCGTGTGTGTGCGTGTTGCCGCTGCATCGGAGGGCCGACAAGGCGGCACTTGGGTGTCTGGAGGTGTGGCGTGACCGCGTGGCGGATGGGTCTGGTGATCACGGGGCGCCGCTGTCAGTCCGCTTGGCTAGGTCAGGAGGCAGGCAGCGATGGGCAATGGCACTTTGAGTCACACATCTCTATGCTTTGTGTTCTCAGTGAGGGCGAGTTGTACACAGTCTGTGGGTATCCCCGGGGCGCGCTCGGCCCGCTGGCTCTCTGCGATCCGACCGGTCTGTCAAGCGGAGGAGAACCAGACCAAACCACATATTCAATGTCTTTCCTTGTCGTTCATTCGTGCAGCGTTTGTGGTGGTGGACGCTTCGCTGATGAGTGACGATGTGGACCTGCTGTTAGGGGGCGGGGCGAGGGATGTAGTGTACCCAATGAAGGCCGCCACACTCGTGCGGGTCACGGGTACGGCTGTCACGGCGGTCGCCGTCGATGAGTGACTGGATGAGTGATGAGTAGTGAGTGAGTGGCTGAGTGTGGGTGTCACTGCGTGTGTGTGTTGATAGAGTACTGGCTGAGGTCTGGCCTGTCTGGGTAGTCAGTCATTGGTGTGAAGTGGTGTCCCGTTGACGGGAGGGGACAGAACTGACGCAGATCTCACCCCTGCAAATGTGGTGGGTGTCTGCGATTTACTTACAAATACTTATAGAGAAATAAATGCACTCAATGGCGGACGCATCAGAGCAAACATCCGCATCTCTCCCTCCCTCTTATGGCTCCCTCACCGGCCGCCGATGCCGGCCTCTCTCTCTTGCCACAGCTTCAGTGCCTTCTCATTGGCCGGCACCGACACACGATAGTCATCTAATTGTGTCTCCAGCCCACGCAGTGCATGACCGTGCAGCAGCGTCAGCTCGTCCCGCTCAGCCTCCAGCCTGCTGCTGCTCTCCTCATCCACACCACCATCGACACCCACGGGCTGAGGTGCTTCTGATTCCTGCCCCTCTGCCACATCGGTGCGTCTGTATGGTCTCTTCTCGTAGTGCATTATGAGAGCCTCGGCGTGGCAGAGGGCGTTCTGGAAAGCCTCGCACATGGCGGTGCTTGATGCGAGCAGGTTCCTCAGCACGGCGGCCTGGTTGGCACTGCACAGCAGCTGACACCACACACACACATAGAGAGAGAGAGCGAGGAGGTGGGCGACCGCATATGGGAACCATATTTGGCACCTTTTCATTGATGTGTGTGATGTCTCCCTCCAGCTCCTGTTTCTCCATCTCCAGCCTTAAAGCACCAATGGCCAACAACACATATCACATCATACGCCTACATGGCGAGACGGCAAAGGCCTGCCTTCTCTTGCATCTGACCTGCCTACCTGTTACTTGTGGCCAGCTGTGCCTGGTATCTGTCTGTCAGGTCGTTGAGCTGCTGTGCCAAATCCTGCTTGGCTTCGATGAGCTTCTGGTTCTTGTCGACGTAGTCATACATTCTCTTCTTGCTGGTCTGCAGCAGACTCTCGGCATCCTTCAACGCCCTCTTGTCGCCCATGTCAAAATTAACACCGCTACCCTGTCAGGCAATATGACAGCAACACTCGTGTGTGTCCCTCTCCTCTCCCTCCCCATCTCTGTGTGTATTTAGGCTTACAGGCGAGACATCGTACTTGACTGTCGATGTGAGCCCCAGGACCTCTTCCCTGCCGTGGTCGAGATGCAGGAACGACAGCGACCGCAGCTCCTCTGTCTCCGCGCCAGCCTGTGTTGTCACGCCGATCCGCCTCCCCCCATACACCACCAAGGCACCCATGTGCTGATCGAATGTCGTCCTGGCATACAGCCGGCGGGGCAGCGGGGGTATGCCACCGATAAAGGGCGTCACCCATATCCTGGCCTTGTCGTCCAGATTGAGCAAAAAGACCGTACCGACAAACCTGGTGGTGGTGTCTTTGCTGCCGGGCTGGTACGTCTCGCCGCCCCACAGGACGATCTGCGGCTGTGGCGTGCGCATGACGGCCATCGTGTGGCCGAACATCGGGCCGGGTGGGGTGCCTGCCGCTTCAACAGGCTCCCATCTGGCACTGCAAATACACACAGACACACACCGGCAGAGACATAGAAAGAAGATCTTTGAACGCATTTCCGCTTGCTTACTTACGTGTTGCAGTCATATCTGTGGAGGTCGTCGAGGGGCATGTCATTGGTTTCCCCTCCATAAAGGTAGAGGTATTGGCCACAACCCACCATAGCCCCGCTGTGCCGGGCACACGGACATATCCGGGAGGAGGGAGCAGGAAACGATGGCGACGGTGCAACGGCTCCGCTCTGCATGCATGTACCGATCCATGGCAGGAAAGAGAAACGCATTGCGCCTATGGATTGTTCTTCTGCAGTCACTCACCCTGAGTTTTGTCCAGTAGATTTCAGTCACTTCCTTGCCCGACGCCCTCTTTTCGCGCAGAGAGTCGGTGAGTGAGGGCAGCACACTCAGCCCCCACATGTCGCCAAACACCCAGCCTTCAGGCATGCCCCTACCACCGAACAGCCATCCCACATTCATGTGCCTAGCCGACATAAACAGAGAGACGGAGACACAAAGCGATAAATGTGTGGCTGCCGGTCCGGCCTTTGTGTCTTTTGCGTTTGGACATACCTACCATGTGTGCAGGGCGCTTTCTCTTGGCTCGGGGCAGACGCCATTGCGAAAGAAGGGAAACACGCGGTGCCAATGCATTCGGGACAGATCCAATACAAAAGTCTGATCCATCCAGCCAGCCAGCCAGCCAGCCATCCATCCAACATCAAGGAAGCCGCCAAGTGCTGCATGCACTGTCCTTGCAATGCTTCCTACTTGGCTGGTGCTCTGCCGCATCTCATCCTGTCCCCTGAAGGCACAGACAGCACTCGCGTGCATAGAATACATGAGCCACCCGCACAGCCGTGCAATAGTCGCACTGACCCGAAGACGACCATGTAATTGCCAATTTTGCCGCCCTGCTTGGCGGACGTGAGTGAGCACACCCAGCTGGCATGATGGGCCGTCGGCTTCGGCAGCTCTCCGTTGCAACTGGCAAGGCCCCACGTCCATCTTGGGCCGACGGTGGCTGTTGTGTCGGTGAGCCTCTCGACGGTGTAGACGGCATTGTCCTTGCCCTTTGCAGTGAGGCCGCCATACAGCACCAGGGAGGGCGAAGCTGTGTCCGCTGACGGATTCCAGTGAAGAGAACATCCTGAACAAGGTACGCAACAATCCGTGCACTCAAACGGAATGTCAGGTCAATGCATGGGGCAGCTGACCGGAGCGAACAGGTGGGGGGTTGCCCCGCGAGACGTCAATGGAGGTCCAACACAGACTCTGAGCCATCAAAACTTGTCGAGAACCGAAGACAGGCGAAAAATCTCGACGAGCGATCATCCTGATCGCTGTTTAAGGAAAGGCCGGCGACAGCCGGTGCCTGGTGTTCCTTCATCTCCCTCGAGCCCTGCCTTCAAGTTCAAGCCCATCGCCGAAGGCCAAGTGCATTTCGCTATTGTGGTATTTCATTTCAAGCACAGCATCTGACACAGACGACATGGACTTTCGTCATTGCCCAGCTCCTTCAGTCATACAAGACTATGCCATGCCTGCCCTTGGATCTTCCGGCGCTGCTCCGCCTTGCTACGCCTTGCTCACAAGACGGGCACACTCGCTGTATGAGATATACCTCATCCCCAATCTACTACCCAGCCTGCAATGTGAGATTATTCGCACATTGTCAGCCCTCAACGTGAAGGTGCCTTCCGGCAATCGACCCTTTAAGCTTCCCTTCGAGAAAGCGCCTCCGTTGGGTCAGAATCGAGATCTGAAAGTCATTTAGAGGTTCCTTCCTGACCTACCACAATATTCGTCCACTCTCTTCTCGATCAACGTGGCGTTCGAGAATGGGATTTTGACAGCGTGTGTTGTGTTGACAGGGGTTTGAGGAGCGTCTCGACGCGTATCTGTCCGAGTACGTCATTGGCGTCAGGAACTGCGAGGAGTGGATCACCTATGGCACCGAGGACAAGGAGCGTCTCAAGGCCGGCCTGATGCAGCTGCGGGTCAAGGAGCGGCGGGTTCGACTGTTGGACCACTTCTTCAGGCAGTGGAGTCTGGCCCTCTGTGAGCTGGACGACGACGGACGCCGAGCCGCTCTGTACGTTGAGAGACACACCCAATGGAGACACACCCATGACATGTGCCTGCGTGTGTCAGTGGGGAGGGTGGCTTCCTGTATGTCTTCCTTTTCCTCATCACCAAGGGGGCGTACACTGGTACTGCCATCCGGCATGGCCCGTCGTTCGACAGATAAGGTGTATCGATAGGGTAGAGGAAACACACACCCGCTCACTCGACAACATGGGTGTGTCTCGCACAGGGTCCAAGAGCACAAGAGAGGCATCCTCAACACCATGGAGCACCTCATTCGCGGCACACCCCTCAGCGCCACTGCCAAGGAAAAGGCAACGACGTAATTGTCGAACAGCAATCGATGTCTACGACCACACCACACCTGCCGTTTTCGTGGAATACATACAGCTATGCTGAGTGTCTGGCCGGAGTCGACTGGGAGTTGAGCATCCCCACGGCCGCCCGTGTCACAGGTAATCCCGCCTACAGGAAAAGTCCACGGAGCAGCCCCGCATGCGCCTTAACAATTGGGTGTTGTGTCACCTATGTCTTTTCAGAGGACACATCGTGGGATGACATGGCCTCCCAGATCGGGTGGAGGGAGTGGACAGCAACGACGTCTGCCGCCAAGGGCAAGTGGCGGGTGAAGTCTCGCAGCCTCAACGCATTTGTTGACGTCGACATACACAAACTCAATAATCGTCTACATGGTGAGTCTGTCTGCGTCAAGAGGCCACGTCAGGTCTTCATTTACCCCTCTGGGTGTGTGCATGGGTGTCGGTTCCAGGCAACATCGGCCGAGGGACCACCAAGTCCTTCATCCATGAGGTGTTCGACGACCCTGACAAGACACTCTGGGACATGCTCATGTCGAGTGTGGCCCGTTTGGCACGTACGCCACACACGGGCGTGGCACCCCTCTCCATCATGACCATGAACCACCAGCCCTCCCTGTGTGTGTAGGGAAAGGCGTCTTCATCAAACCATACACCATCATGGAGCTGACACGCGACAAGGACAGCTGGACGATGGAGGAGGCAAGGGTACGAGTATGGCTCATGCGCGCATTGCAGCAGTGTATGTGCATGAAACGCCTACAGTTGGAGTGTGGCGCGCGACTTCATCGCCACCCGTTTTACGAGAAGCTCCCTGAGAAGGGCCATCCAGGCTTCCCGTGGCGCTGGCGGAAAAAAAAGAAAACGAAAAAAAAAAGGTCGCGCACGCACTGCAGATGTGCACATCGAGATGCTGTCTCCATTGTCGTTGCAGGGGCTCTGTGCGCAGGTCGTGAGGGACGTCGCCCAGAAGGCCGAGCTCGTCCGTCAAGGAGAGGGGGAGGTCGTGGGTGCCACTCCGTCGGTTTGCCACGATCGATGACGTGACGCAACACTGCATTCAGCAGACGGAGGACTGGGTCAGTCGCAAACTCATCCCGGCAGCACCGGTAGAAAAATCAGGGAGGGAACGATGCACATCCCCCTGCATCGATGACACGGTGTGATGGTGCCAGATGACCAAGAAGGAGGCCGGCCGTCAGCTCCAGGCCAAGCATGCGGAGGAGTTCTCGCTGCCCATGGGCTTCTTCGAGCAGGCCAGCGGCAGTCTCTGCCTGCGGTTCGACAAGGCAGCACCACAGCACCCCGATGGCGTCACACCCTTCAAAAGAGTTGCGGAGGTGAGCATCCCCTAATGGAAACACGTGATTGCCCTCATTGGTCGCCAACCTCTCTATGTCTGTGTATGGTCTCTGTCAGAGAGTCCATAAGCTTGAGGGGCGTCCAGCCCCCCCTTCCAAAGGCCGTATCACCTCTGCATCGTGGGGGTTACTCTACGACATCGCATTACAAGAAGGTGGGTTCATGATGGATGGTTTGATGGTGCGTGTGATCATGTCTGTTGCCACAGCGTCATATGGCCGTGGAATCCGGCCAGCGCGCGCGCGGTTGCGACGAAGGTGTCCGCGCAGCGCGGGGGAGCAGCGGTGGAGGTGGGCATTGGAGCCGGAGTATGTGGAATGGCGTAGACGGCGTACTGAGCATGGCTACTATATTGATTGCCTATCATATTGATTGCCTGCCTACTTGCCGCCCCACGCCCGGCAGACCTCGTCAGAGAGGCTATCGAGGCGCTGCGGGGGTGGATTTTGGAGCGCCGGGAGGCCATCATGGCGCGGCCACTGGCGGAGGAGGAGGAAGAGGCGGATGAGTTCGTGGAGGAGGTTTGGCAGGAGCTGGACCCCATGGCGCGGCTGCTGCGGCGAGCGGAGGAGCTGGACAACCAAGGGCCGCGCCAGGGCACGTCAGCTGGGGAGAGGCCGGTGTTTTTGAAGCAAATCCACCCAACGTAAGCTCTCATTTGTATGACAACAATCATGAGTTTCTCTATGTTCATTCCTTGCATGTCTCACCATTTTCACAGCTGGATTGGGTGGACCGGTTGGCGGTAGGATGCGGGACCTACGGCGTGGTAAACAGAGAGAGAGGAGCTCCTACATGCACTTTGCTGTGTGGAATCCAATGCTTGTACCAGGTGGAGGAAGGGCTACTTCGACAGACAACCAGAGTAGCCATAAAGTCGGTGTGGGACTCGCTGCAGGAGGGTAAGCGGCTCACTCCAACATGCCTTGAATGCATCTCCTTCGTTGGCTGTCTGTTTGATTGCAGGAATTGCGCCGACAGATTGGGAAGTCATGAATTTTGAGAGGGAAACTCGTGCATTTAAAGGTCAGCGTCTTCAACAAGACCCCACTGATTGCCGTCCTCATTTCTTACATTGCTGTCGCTTCGTAGCTTTCTTGAGTACAGAAACATTTTGAAGTGTCTCGGGGTGTGCCGGTATGGGGGCAATGCTGAGGCGAGAGACGCCACACTGAGAGGTCCTCGCCATTGTCTGGTGCTCGAATACATCGATGGAGGTCAGCAAAAGGACATAGACTGCTCTGTCAGAAGACCTCCACGTGTTCATATGTGCTTCTTGCAGACACATTGTCCAATTACCTAAGGGCACAGCCGGCGGCGGGGCGGAGATTTATATCGGCAGAGCATCTTGTACGCAACGGAGATATCAATCCCGTCATTTGGCCCGGCGGCATTGACGTGTTGATTTGGTGTGTGCAGGTCAATGCAGTCGGTCCCTTGGATTTATTCACAGAGACATCAAACCAAACGTAAGCACAACTGAAGCACCACTTTGTCTTGAATTGTTCTGTCTCTTTTGTCTGGCAGAATTTCTGGTGCGGGGAGATAATTTGCAGCTGAAATTGGCGGATTTCGGAACGTGCATTAGACTTTCGGTATGTGTTCATTACAGCTGCCAACACGACATTTCGTTCCTCTACATGTGCGGCCCGGCGCGTGTCATGTGTCGAGGATGGCTACGCGCTGCCCCCTGAGATGGCGGAAATTGCTGTTTACATTTTATATCCGTTCGTGATCACCTCTGCTACCACTACCACCGCAGCTGCCGCTTTGCCGCTTTACTATTTCAGAGTCGTGATATCAGTACTGATGGGCTTGAGATGGGGTGTGAGGTGGCTAGTTTTGTTTTCCTGCTTGAGGTGTTTTTGCGCGTGCATGTAAGACACACTCCAGCCTGGCATGCTGGTTTGCATCGAAGTATTGAAGAAATCCATTCACTTCCTCCTGCGAGCTTGTCAAATCTCTCCCCTACGACCTTGCTCGTCGTTGCCAAGATCTGTCCCACCCTCGAGCGCAGGCTTATTGGCGAAGCGACCAGCCACTTTGTGCGCCTCTCCACAACGATGCAGTTCATCGTGTTGACAATTGCAGCAACGGCATGGCTGCTTGCAGCTCTCGCTCCCACCCGTGTTGATGGCGCATCTGCCCTCAGCAACCTGCTGGCACCCCTGCCCTCCTCATCCCGCTTAGGAGCCATCCTCAGAGCCTCTGCCCGCGCAGACAGCGGTCTCGCCAGTGATCTTCTCGGGTCATCTATCCGGCCCTCCTCTCTTGGCGCGGATGAGCTCAGCGTCGGTGCATTCGGCAAGGGAAGCCATGTGGTGTGTCTGACGGGCAGCGGAGCCAAGAGGGGGGCAGCGGTCGACGCATATGAGGCCACTCAGCTGCTGCTGGCATGCGACTTCATCGTCCTGACCATCCCCTATGCGTCCCTGTGCACCGGCACCGCGAGTGACGACATCCAGCTGCTGCAGGGGCTGACTGAGAGCCTGCTGGCCATGCCGACCAAGCCGGCGAGCAAGAGGAGGCTGCTGGTGGTGGTGACTGGCTTCGACGGCACCGACGCGGAGAGGCAGGAAAGCCAAGCGGTGCTCTACAAGGACATGAAGGCTCTCTTTGACACCCCGCCGCCGTCAGCCCGGGTGAAGGCGGGTGAGAGTCCTTCTTTTGGGGACTATTTCGACAGCGACGTGTTCTTCCTCCCGCCCGCCAAGCTCGAGCAGAACGCATACGCAACGAAGGCGAGCAAGGAGAGATCTGACATATTGATGATACGCGTGTGGGAATTAATGGGTGCGTGTCTGCTGATGGGTTCTTCCTGGCAGGTGAAGCAGCTGTCTGCGAAGATCGATGAGGCTCTTTCGTCTGCGGGCGGCCCACCTTCCCTCAGTGTCCTGCAGCAGCGGCTGGCACGCCCGCCGCCGTCAGCAGTTCCGAGGCGGGCAGCTGCCATGCTGTCCAGCGACAGTGAAGTTCTGGCAGCATACGAAACGGAGAGGATCAAAGAACGACTATACGCAAAGTGAGGCAAAGAAACCGAACCACCGCGACCCTTAAGCTATGTGCACACTCTCTCCCCGCGTCCGTGTGCGTGTGTGTGTGTGTTGTGTAGGTTTGTGGACGATGTGTCGAAGCAGTCGCGATCGTTCCATCGGGGCTTCGACAGTGGGTTCCCCTCCCTGTGCGACAACCTCATCCAGGCGGCCCTCAACAGCTACGACGCCGCCACCAAGGACTACAGCCCCACAGCTGCAAGGCTCAAAAACAGGCAGGCCTTCATCAAACTCATGCTCAACGGTACGCACACACACACAGACACGCAGAGTCAGGGGCGGTGCGGTATCAGACACCACGCCCATCCCTCGCCATATCCTCTTCGTTCAGATTTGGTCGAGAAGTATGAGGCTCAGCTGCGGGCGCTGATGGGTCTGACGGTGGATCGGTTCCGCCAGGGCTTGAGCAAGACGCGCATCGGCCCTGGCGTGGTGCGTGCGCTAGAGGGGGCGCAGAGGGACGCACTGGCCTTCTTCACAAGCAACGCACACCGCCTCAAACCAAGAAGTGCCGGCAACGCATGGAGCGAAGCCGCCCAGAGGTCATCACATCTCACTCTCACCTACACCACCGATGGATGGGTGTTGCTGCTTTCTGGTGGATCATTTGTGCTGTGGTGTGGTGTGGTGTGTTGTTGAGTCAGGCATGATCTGCAGTCGATTCTGAGGGACCAGGCGTCGAGTGTGGTTGAGCTGGCCCGGGCGCAGGGTGCCCTGGCGGTGGGGGGCGCCAGGCGGAAGCCAATCGCCCTCTCCTTGCACTACCTCTCACCAACCGCATTCGGACTATCCGACTTCAGGTACACACCTGGACGCACTGCACGCACAGACAGGCAGCAGAGGCAAAACTGGCGTGCGTGTGTGAGCGTGTGTGTCAGGCGTGACATCACGTTGGGTACGGGCAGTGGGAGCGAGTTGGGTTTCACCAAGAGGCGGGCGGGCGTCATGTCGACATCGGCTGACCCTAGGGGAGACAAAGACACACAAATGTGAGCAACCGGGGGCGCACAGAAAACGAGAATCACTCGGCAACCCATTGGCCCATTTCTCTATGGGGGTGTGTGTGTGTGTGCATGTGTGTCAGCTTGGTGCCGAATGACGTGAGTCCGGACATATCTGCGCTGTCTGAGTCGATGGTCTACGACGGGCGGGTGTCCGCCAAGGGCAAGAGATGACGTCTGTGCACACGTGGGTGGGCGGATGGATGGATGCGTGTGTGACGATGGGTGTCAATCAATCAACGACGTGCTGTGCTGTGCTGTGGGTGGCGCGGTTGGCACCAACTCAATCGAGGTTTATAGGTAGGTAGGTGATGGTGATGGACAAAACGACCTGTGACTTGTGACATATCTTCCAATACGTATCTATCCTTCATCGTGTTTACTTCCTTCCATACAAACACGCACGCATCGCATTATATGTTTCAACAAGACACTTGCGCCCCTCCCACCCTCCCTGCCGTCACCGTCCGTCCGCCTCTCGTGTGCCCCTGGCCAATCGCGATCCACAGTTGCGAGCTTTTGGTTTGCGATGCGTCCCTTTCCCGGTTTCCTATGCCACCGGCGTCGCCTGTAGCTTCCTGAGCCTAGATCTCCCTGTCGAAGCGAGCGAGACGAACGGACAGGCGACTCGTTTTGTCTGACCATCTATCTGTCTGTGGCGCGATGGTTGGGAGCGACAGGCACCACGACGTGCAGCATGATCTGCGGAACCGACCGCACGGCGACAGGTGAGCTGACTGAGTGCGATCGTGGACCAACGTCACATGTTAAGCATAGGCGATCTGTCCTGTCTGTCGGTCTCTCTGTCATCTGTCTGTCTGTCTGCCTTGTGTGTGCAGGAAGGGCAGCACATCGACCTTTACGGTTTTGGATGAGGACAGTTTTGGGATTGTGGTTGGCCGGGCCGGCTCACATCGAACCAAAGTGGAGAAGTTCTTTGGCGTCAGCCTCGAGGTGCGTCACGATCAGAGGGGCGAGGCAGGCCACTCTCTCTCTCTCTCCCTCTACCTCACACACGCGCCTGTCTGTCTGTCTGTCTGTCTGTCTGTCATGCCTGTGTGGCCAGATGGAGAATTACCCCAAGAAGGGCATGCGCGTGTCGGGCCCGTCGTCGGCAGTGGGCCAGGCCAACCTGTACCTCAATTACCTCATCAGGTCACAGCGCAGAGACGCCACAAGACACCAGGGCGAACTCGAAGCTGTCATCACCGAACTCGGAGTCGATCCTGGTCAGCATAAGCCACACACACACAAACACAACCACATGGACGGATGGATGGATGTGCGCAGAAGTGACATTGGTGACGATGCGTCTGGGGACCAACCGGCGTGTGGGTGCTCACTTTGCCGGGCTTGAGAGCGAGTTCCACGTCATGACGCTGCGCTTCTCCGAGCGGCCGGGAGAGACCCACTCTCGCAAGGAGGAGGCCAAACACGACTTCCTTGTGCTGTTCGGACCAAAGTGAGGGAGCCATCGTCCCAGCCTCCCACACAGCATCGCACACCATCCAACGCTCACACGCATTTCTTGTCTTCTTGTGCTCTGCAGGGAGGCTCGTCGTGCGGCCGAGAGTCGCGTCAAAGGGTTGCTGGAGAGTCTGCAGGGGGGTAGGCTGCCGAGCAGCACAGATGCCCTGCCGCACACGCCCACGTCAGCATCGTCGTCCACCGACATGGCGGAGGGGTTCGATGTCGAAAACTGGCGACTGGGGGCAGCCAAACTGGCGCTGCTGGCCGACTGGCACGACAAGATCAAACTCGCCTCGGGCTGCTCCATGGTCACCGAAATCGGCAAAGAGACTCTGTATGTCGCCGGTGAGTGAGTAGAGAGGGAGGGAGGCAGGAAGGCATAGGGTAAGGGTGTATGTGTATATGTATATGTGTGTGTGTTGTGTGTCAGGTTCTCGTGTGGCTCGTCGTTTAGCCAAGATCTACACGGAGGCCCTGCTACAGTTCTTCAGCCAACACGCCGTCACTAACCAAAAGTGAGTGAGTGAGTGAGTGACGGCTTACTAAGCCAAGAAGTCAGCACACCAGCCTCCCTAAGGTCAAACTTGTTGCATTCGCCGGTTCTCGCCTTGTGTCCTGTCCTTTGTCAGGGAGGTTGAGAGTGCTTCGTTTCACTGCAGCGACACGGCCGAGGCGACTGGCAAGATGGATGAAATCGAAACCGCCACGGGCTGCGCCATCGCCGTCAACACACCTGGGTGGGTGAACGAGGCAGTGATCGAGGCTGTGTGTCTGCACTGCATGTCTGTGTGGTGTGTGTCCTGACTGACAGGGACAACCGTTTTGAGTGTCTGGCGTTCGGCGGCAACATCAAGGAGGCCAGGCGGCTGCTGCAGGACTACGCCTCCACACACGCCGCCATCCCCACACCAGCACCATCACACCCACCTCCCACACAGCAGCAACAACAACAACACCAGCAGCAGCAACAGCAACAGCAGCAGCAGCAACGGCAGCAGCAAGAGGAGAAGCAGGAGCTCTCGACCCCGCCACCGCTCCCTCCTCCACCGGCCGCAGCCGCACCAGGACTGGCATCCTCACCGTCCGCCTCATCAAGTTCATCTCCCTTTCAGCTCAACCATTCCTCCCACAACAACGCCGGCCCATCTCGCCCACAGATCAAGACGGACAGCACGTCCAGCGCGGCGTTCTTCACACCCTCCCCGATGTTTTCGCCATCGTCGTGCGGGTCGTCGCCTCTGCCCAATGCCGCTGTGGATAACAACGGCCATCAGGACAACAACGGCGTGGGGCTCCATGTCGCTCTCAATGGGCCGGTGCCAACGTCTATACCAAGGTGTGTCGGGGGGTGGGCAAGCAGCCTGACACACAAGGGGTCGGGTGGTGGATGCGATGCGATGGATGCGATGCAGCGAGTCGTTTGAGTCGATGGGTGGCGATGTGCGTCTGCCGGTATCGACCTTCAACCGGATGCAGATCAAGATCAAGCAGCTCGAGGCGTCCGTCAGAAACATGAGAGCCGAACTCGACGAGGAAAAGGCCAAACAGTAAGCCAACACACACCTCCACACACACAGAGACCAGGTCTTTCGGTGCATTTGTCGGTATGCTGTGTGGTGTGGCTTACAGCCCCAATGACCACTGTAATGGCGACCCGCTGATAGGCACGTTCGGGGCTCAGTTTGCCGACCTCATGCGGCAGGTGAGACACAAAGCGCTCACAGGCAGACGGCATTTCGTGTCTCTATCCCCCCCTATGTGTGCCGTCGGTCTAATCTGCCTGTTATGTCAGAAGGAGGGAGCAGAGATGCGCATCAAGATGCTCGAGGAGGAGGTCGGACGATGCCGCGGGCAGGTCAACACCCTCAACAACCAGCTGCAACAGGTAGGCATGCAACCAACGCACAGACACACATAAAAAGAGACAGACAGACAGACAGACCGCTCTCTCTCTTTCCCTCCCTCCCTCCCTCGCCCTTCGATGTGATTCAGACGGCCCTGACGTCGGTGCCGTACGTGTCGCCCCACGAGCTGGGTCCGATATCCCCCGAGCAGATCGCCCAGGTGCTGCCCCGCCCCGCCGCTTCCCAGCACGAGACAGAGGCCGTCCTGCGGATGGTGCAGAAGCGAGCCATCCCCTTCGCAGAGCACGAGAAGCTCCTCTTTCTCAGACACATCGAGTTCCTCGTCTATGTCCCCGGCATCCCCTGTGGCTCCTATCGCCGCGTGTGTTGGGAGGGCTGGGGGGGCGCCTTTGCGCAGCGGGGCCACGGGCTGGGTGGGATGCTGGGCTTCATGCACGAGGCGGCGCGGGCGTACGAGGAGTTCCTCGTTATGCAGGGGTATTCGTTTAAATGAATGACGACTGACCACATGAATGACGTGAGCAAGGCAGGCTGGCTGTCTGGCAGCGTAGCATACATATAAAGGGTGAGGGGTGCATCGGTGGTTCGTTAGTACGTCTGTCTGTCTGTCTGTCTGTGATTAGCTCCTCCTCCCCTTTTCTCTCTGGCTGTGGTGTGCATATTGCGGGATAGACAGATGGATGTGACGGACGGCAGTGGGTGGGGTCGGGTGGCGTGTGCGGCGTTGCCTAGATTCTTCCTTGTTGTTCTTGTCCTATTGGGCTGCTCGCACAGCACATGGCCTTGCATGGCCTGGCCGAGGGCTGGCTGCACATGAGTGAGTGAGCCTCGAGTGAGTGTATGCTCAGTATGTCTACTGCAGCTGCATCAGGAGTCGAGACTCCCACTCTCGTGCTGTCTCGACGCTTGGTGTTGCCATGGTTGAGCAGAGCACACAGTCGAGGAAGCATGCACCCAGGCTGGCCAGCTGGCATGTGGCGCGGGCGGGGCGGGGCGGGGCGGGGCGGGGCGGCTGTAGCCCTTCTTTCTTGTGACGTACGTCAACATATACCTACCGTATGTCCACACCCATCCATCCATCCATCCACCGTACTCCTACTCACCACATTCACACCCATACCATACACTTACCTTTCGTGCCACTGCGCACTCCCCCCCGACGACGCTGCCCCTTCCATCCATCCATCTCATGCATGTGATGTGATGTGCGCAGCGAAGTCGTCTGTGCAGACAAGAAGAAACAATGGCGGCGGTGACTGACCTACTGGCAGGAGGGAGGATACAGACATGTGTGTGTAGTGGATGGATGGACGGTTGGGTGGAGGGGTGGGTGGGTGGGTGTCTAATTGAATACTTCTCCCCTTATGGATGGTCCTTACTGTGAATGAATGTGTCACATTCGCCTCTGATCCACATCATGAAACACATCACACTCTTTGAACCGACCCATTGATTGCACCGCATCGCGTCACCAATCTGTCTGTCTGTCTGTCTGTCGGCACTCGTGTCTTGCGACGTCACCATCGTCCCCAATACCACCCGAGATATCTCTCTCGGGTGGCAACGCGAACGATGTGTACGTGCAAGACACAACTACCGAATATGCAATTGTCAGCTTATTACAACTATGGGATGGCTTCTCAAGTCGCGCTCAGTCAGTGAAATCTCTCTGTCTGTTTGTGCCTCCCAATACAGTGGTTGATTGAGGCAGCAACACTCTCACTCACTCAAGCACTCCATTACACAGACAACAAACACCAAACCAACACCCTCCCTCCCCCCATCACTTTACACTACAGTGTCCTTCTTTGACTTCGACACGCCCGACTTGCTGTCCGCAGCACCAACATCATACCCATTCACACCACCAACACCACCACCAGCAGCAGCGCCGTCGGGCGGCGGGAAGGATGAAGGCGGCGATGGCGATGGAGACGGAGAGAGGGAGGGGGAGGGCTGCGGCCCATTATCATCGCCGCCCTTGTCCATCTTGGCCTGTGCGAAGGGGGGCAGTGCGGCCTCCTCTGGGGGTGTGGGGGCGTCGATGGCGTCGTCCGGCTGGGTGTTTGGGTTGCCCTCTATGTCGATGTCGAGCACCGGCGATGGCAGCCCCTCGCCACGCGATTGGAAGTAGCGGGCCATCTCCTGCCGCCGATCGGTATACGGCGAGGGAAAGAAATTCGGGAAGAACCTGTGAGCCCCAAGCCAGCAGAAACACACAGCGGCACTGACTAGTGGGTGTGTGTTGGGTCTACTGGCCGGGCCGGCCGACCTTTGTATGAAAGAGAAGACGAGTACATGGCCGACTGGCGAGAGGGGTATGATGAGTATGATGGTGAAGGGCACCAGGTTGAGCAGGTCGCGGCCTGTGCGGCGCAGCGCACTCACCTCGCGAGGCGACAACGTGTACCTACACGCACCGCAGCGCAGCGCAGCCACACACATCCCATCCCATCCCTCGATGGATGAGATCTTCCCTCTGTTTCTGTGGGAGTGAGTGAGTGAACTCACTGGTCGAATGCGGCGGCCTTGAACAGGCCGATGGCGTACTGTATGTCTGAGACGAGCAGCCTGGTGCCCAGCCAGTAGAAGGCGACGCCGTTCCTGATCTTGTCCGTCTGCTCCTCCAGGGAGGCCTTGATGGTGGCCCAGTCAAACCCACGCTGGAGGCCGGCCGCAAAGGGCTTGGGAGGGGGCAGCTCCAGACCTGATGGATGATGGACGGACGGATGGATGGATGGTTGGATGGGGGAGGGTGTGGTGTGGTGTGGTGTGGTGTGAGTGGGGGACTGCACTTGACTTGCCTGCTCTGGCTTTGAGCTCCTTGACTTCCACAGACAGCACCGCCAGTGTGCCCTCGTCAGACAGAGATAGCGTGCCCGTCTGACATGACATCAACACACCAACCAGACAACACACACGTTGATGCGATGCGATGCCTGCAGCCCTCATTCGGTCTCTTCTTTTGTGGTGTGAACCAAACCTGTATCCAGATCTTGAGGAGTCTGTTGAGTTTGCCCTCGAGCCTGAGGTACTCCCTGAGGAGCCCCTGGAACTGCACCGACACCGCCCCCATCTGCGCCGACCCCCCCATGCCCATCCCACCCACAGACGCTGACGGCCCCACCACCACATCCCTCCTCACGCCGCCGTCGTTGCTGTTGACATTGACATTGAGATTGACATTGTTGTTGCTGTTGGGTGTGTAAGAGGGTATAGTGATGTTCCTGCGGTCGAAAAGCAGCTCGAGGCGCTTGAGGTCGAGCTCGACCTGCTGGAACTTGAGCTGCCGCTTGAGGTCTTGGACCTGCCGGTCAGCCCGCGACAGCTCCCTCTCCACATCTGCACGCACACCCACGTCCTCACTGCTTGTCGAACGAATGTCCACCAACACCTCTGAATGAACACACAGGCAGGGCAGGGCAGGCAAGAAGGATGCATCGCATTGATGGCGAACGGTGGTCTTGTCTTGTCCGGTTCAATCCGCACCTCTGAGCCTGGCCCGCTCTTTCCTCGCTTCAGGCAGCTCGTCCTCTGTCTGGGAAATGTACGCACGCAAATTCTGAATCGACGGACTCGCCTGAAAGCAACACCACACACAGACCGATCAATAAATAAGCCACAACAGCTGCATGACATGGCATGACACCGGTCGGTTCCATCCAGTCGCCTCGCCTCGGCCCCACCCACCTCAATTTGTTCTGCGAGTGAGAGTGCGGCCCGTCTGCCTTCGCCCTGTTCGTCCTCGAACCCCGGGGGTATGCCGTTCAAACGCTCCCATAGCTCCACCAGAAACCGCAGCGTGCCACGCCAGGAGCGATAGAACGCCTGACCTGTCGCTATCGCACGCTGATATGGGGACATACACACACGAAGATAGATCCACAGATCAACAGACAGACAGACAGACAGACGGACGGGAGATGAGATGAGATGAGCAGGGAAGAGGGCAGCTTGCATGTCATGTGGTTCGGTTCGGTCCGTCCGCACCTGCGTGACGTCCTCTGGCCTGAGGTCCTCCACATTGACCGCCCATTGCTCATCCACCGACACCGTCTCGTTACCATAAGGAGGAGAAGAAGCAGAAGCAGAAGTGGAAGCTGATGAAGATCTAGCACCACCACCACCAACAGCAGCAGATGCCCGCGGCTCGCTCTCTTTCTCCTTGGTGGATGTCGATGCAGATGACGGAGACGGCTTCTCACTAAAGAGCCCACCGACAAGACTCCTGTCCCCTCTCCGCAGCTGGTGGATGGACCGCCGCGCCCATGCAGGCGTCCTCACCACCAGGGGAGGGGTGCTGACGAATGCTGGTGGTGATGATGGCAGCTGCCGGTCCGGTCTGCATCTAGAGAGGATGAGTGACGACAGTGCGGGATGAATCAAGCAGCTGAGGAGAAGCAGAGGGAGGGAGTGGGCCACCGCACTAGCCTGTGGCTGTCCGTGTGGCTGTCGCCGGCGTCGTGGCGGCTGTTCTGTCCGCACAGCAGGACCGGGGTGAGAGGGGCGGCAGTTGGGGTGGAGATCCATCGATCAGCGAAATGCAGATGGCCTCACAGCTGTGTGTGCCAGACGCACTGCAATGCGCCTTGGGAGTGCTTACGATACCACAACCTCGCAGAGGAAACTGGAAGCTCGCAAAAAATTCGAATCCTTCTGGGAAAGAAACGCCTTATTGCGGACGCTTAGAGTGCTCACTGTGTTGGTAGAAAGGCTTTGGTGTTGGCTTGACAGGACGTGCCGTCGGTGCTGGGGGAGCTCGGCCGAGAGCCTGGAGGTCTCTATGGCGCTTGGTGACCCCTCCGTGGCCATCCAGCCCACCATCTGGCGGACACTACACAACCGTAGGCACACTCACACACTCATCGCACACAGGGGAAAGCGGCCACATGCATGAGAATCTGTGTGTGTGGTGTGCTGTGTGTGTGTGTGTGTAGGGTTCAACTTGGTGATTCTGCCGACGATACTGATACTGGCGGCGCGTGACCTTCTTCGATGGGAGTCTGACTACTACACGCAGCTGTTTGTGCTGCTGTACTTTGTGATAGACACTGCCTGGATCGGCCTCATGGGCTACAGGGTCGTCAAGGACCCCCAGTCTATTATGGTCCACCACCTTGCCGCAATCGTACTCGTCGCGGGCAGCATGCTCAAGGAGTCTTGGAGGCCTTTCTGGAGCACCGGGGCCCTCATAGGTGCGGATGTGTTGTGTGTGGTGGGTTGCTGCTTCACTCGTCAGACTCCGTGTGTTGCCTGTCCTGTCGGCTCGTCTGTGTGTGCATCAGAAGTGAGCACCATTCTGTTGCTGACGCTGAGATCGGGCAGGGTGAGCAAACAGAACAGCTGGCGTGGCTGGCATGCCCTCCTTGATCCGGAAACACACGTCTGTCTGGTCTGAATGAGTGTGTGGTATGTGTAGGTATCTAACAAGCACTTGTCGTCGATGATCCACATGGCTTTTCTGGTGAGCTGGTTCCCACTAAGGTGGGGCGTGCCCCTCTACATCATGTACAGCTGCTGTAAGCACACTCTCACGCACACACACACACACACAAGGCATGTCAGGCAGTCAGTCTCCACGATTCTTCATCCGTGTGTGTGTTGGTTCAACCGACCATTGGTTGGTTCTCTCTGCAGGGAGCAGCTTTCGGGCTGGTGAGGAGCCGATCTTCGGCATTGCTGCCATCTTTGCTGCGGCATGTGTACTGCTGCACATGCAGGTACGTACGTGCCATGGTCATGCACTCTCTGACAAATGACCAACCAACGCCTGAAACAACTAGGAACATATCACTCATATTTGTGTTGTGTGTCCTTTCTTTCTCTCTTGACGTGTGGTGTCGTCTCACTCATATGGTGGATGATAGGTCAAGTGGAGTGCGAAGCTGATGACGGGCCAGATAAGGACGATGGTCTCACACGGCCTCTGACACCGTCTCACCCACACGCGTACCGGTGTGGCTGCCGATTTGCTTTTCTTCTCCTGCCCTCTACTATACTCACTCACTCACTCCCTCTCTGGCTGGCTGGCTGCCTGTCTGGTCTGCCCTGCCCCTTTCTTCAAGACAGACGACAGACCCTATCTTATCTATGTAGACAGACGTACGAGGATGTGTCCAGTCCATGCGTGGAGCATCGACATCGGTCCATTCAGCGATGGAGTGACTCTTTCACCCAAAGCAGAGCAGACGGCCTTTTGTTTTTTTTGGCATGCCTGGCTGTCACATCACCCACAAACAGGCGATATGATGTGGGCAGTGAGAGTGAACTTCCTTCCATCCACCGGTCATGTCGGTCATGTATGTGATGTGATGTGCACGCCGGAGATGATTTCCTCACACGGCAGGGAGTCTCTCGGACGGCCGGGGGCGGGGCGTGGCGTGATTGGATTCTCCAGTTTTCCTGCTCGCCCTTTCTTTCTCGAGCCATGACCGTGGGATGCATTGCAAACATGACATGGATCCATCAATGGATGGATGCATGGATGCCATCCATCATGATCGATCAAAGACCCGCCAGGCTCACCAGCCCACACACACACTACACGTGCAGTGCAGAATCCACCCGTCCGTCCAGCGATTCATCAGCGATTTTTGACGCGCTGCATGAGCTGAGAGGGACCGAATTGATTGATTGACCGACGACGGAGGGACGGAGGGAGGGTGAATGCGTGGATGATCGAGTGGTTTGCTCGGCTACGTCTGTTGTCCGCCTGTTGTGTGTGAGGGTTTTGTTTGATGCCTGTCTGGAGATTCTGGTCCGTCTGTCAGTCGGTCGGCTGGTTGTGCTGGCTGGTTGGTTGGTTGCATTTTTGTCCCGGTTCTTGTTCCCCACTGGCTTGCTGTCTTCCTGGCTTGCTTTCCTGTGTGTAATCCTTCCTGGCTTTCTTGCCCTGGCTGACTGGCTTGGTCTCCCCCAACGATCGATCGCGTGTGCAGCTGTGATAATGAGCAGAGAGAGAGGGAGAGAGAAAGAGAGAAAGAGAGCGGGCCGTTGTTTGTGTGGGTGTACAGTTGGGGGGCGTACCGTGAGCTGCGTGGGTAACGAACGCAGTTAGTTCTGTTTTCTCCTCCTCCCTCTCTCCCTCTCCCCTTTTCGGTGTGGTGTGGTGTGGTGTGCCGGCCGGCATGTAGCCGGCGCCTTTTTGTCTGCTGTCTGCCGGGCTGTCTGTCTGTCTGTCTGTTTCTTGGTTTGTCTGTCTGTCAATGCTCTCTCATGATTGAAGGACGGGGAGTGAGGGACGGGGCCCCTCAGCACACCGAAAGGAGCCCCTCATCTCTCCCATACATACATACATACATACATACATAACATACGCAGACAGACAGACAGACAGAACGGTGTGTTGATCGCACGATGGATGACCAGTACTTGTGCTTCCTTGGTTGTCTTGGCGAGGGTGTGGGTAGGTGAGGTGGTGGGTGGATTGCAAGGACGAACACCACATCGACGTGACGTGGGTGTATTTGTATGTTGGTGTGTGTGGTGTGTGTTCAACGCGTTGGTGTGTGGTGTGATGCTGTCTCTCTGTATTACGACTCAGTGCTGCGCGTGTTGCCCTGCGGACTGCTTGCAGCATCACCTTCTTCTTCTTCTTCTTCTTCTTCTTCTTCTTCTTCTTCATATTTAATGCCCTTGCCGTGTTCATTCGGAGCAGCCGGTCATGGTTAACCAGTCCACGCACAAAGTCACAGGGTTTTCCATTGCAGGGTTTCCACGCAGGGTTTCCATGGGGGTTTCTCGCCTTCAAGAAATACAAGAGGAACAGAAGCGAAATGGATAGCAAGGACTCCGACGATGCGGACAGGTCCTGTGAGTCATCCAGCGGATCAGAGGACGCCAAGACCCAATCTGCCAAGGTGGCCAAGGAGGCTGATCCCGTCCTCCAGGATCTCCGCGCCTGCCTGCCGGCCGGTACGTATGTGTTTTGACCGCACTGCACTGCACTGTATGCACCCGCACTCACCGCTCCTCCCCAATGGCCTGTCTGCCCGCCTGCCTGCACCCTGTCTGCCTGTAGGCTCTCGTACTGGGGTGGGATTCTCTTCCATTCGGCGTGCGGGCGTCCCCGTCAAGTACGTCACCACGCTAGGGGGCGCGCCTCGCGTCAGTCGCTCCTGCTCCGTCTACGGCGCCAAGGCGGCACTTCGCCAAGTCATCGAGGCGCGCAATCGGAAGGCCAGGGAGGCGGGCCTGCCTCTGCTGGAGGGGTATGAGCAAGTGCTCGAGAGGCACTTCCCATCGTCTGGGTCAGCAGATGACGATGAGGGGGCGGGGGAGAGTGCGGCGGGAGACCGGACAGATCAGCACCGAGTGGCCACCAACAAGAGGAAGAGCAAGGGTGCCGAGAGCGGTGCTGATGACGGTGCCGACGATGAGGCCGAGGACGGTGAGGACGGCATGCGGGCTGTGAAGAAGGCTAGGAAGGGGACCGGCAAACGATCTGGCCGTCTCAACGAGAGACAGCTGTATTTCTTGGCGGTCCACTTCCAGTCCTATCTGCAGCCGATACGGCAGCTCGCCAACCAGCAGGGTGTCAAGACATTCAGCATTCGGTGGCCTTCTGGCAAGAACACGCTGGTGTGCAAGCATCCGGAAGAGAGAGTGCCTTACAAGGATGTAGAGCGAGGCGCAAAGGGCATCCAGGTCAGCCCGGATGAGGAGTGGGGGGGCAGATATGGATGACCGGACTCTCATGTTCTCTCTATTTGTCTGTCTGTCTGTCTGTCTGTCTGTCTGTGTGTCTGTCTGTGCATCTTGTGTTGCGTCAGGAGTGTTTGCGTCGTGCGATCGCCAAGCGCGTCAACTTGATGGGGCCTGACAACCGGCTCAAAGGATGGCAGGCGGCCCTGGAAGGCCCTCAGGTACACTTCGACCCTACGATCGACTACAAAGTGCGTCAACCGAATTACTAGTAAATGCAGGAAGTGGATACACATCTATTAAGCTGTGATGGCGTGCGTGTGTGTGTGTGTGTGTGTGCAGGCCCTGTATGAGTCTCAGCGCACCAAGGACAGGGCCGCTGGACAAGAGCGAGCGAGTGCAGCGAGTGGACTCGACCCGACCGGCGTTGTGCGTGCATTGAGGCGAGTATGGGACCCTACAGGAAACAAGAACAGCTCCAACTTCGGCATCGGCGGCCGCAAGGACAGCAAGGATCCCCGCTTCGTCGCGAAGGTGGGCGAGAACCCTAGCAAGACCTTCTCGATCCGCGTGCACGGGCGCAAGACGGCGCTCATTATGGCTGTCAACGAGCGCAATCGCCAGGCGGCCGAGAACGGGGCCCTCTCGCCCATCGTTGGGTACGAGGGGGTGGCCGACTCATTCGAGCGGGGCGAGATTGGCGTGGCTATGGCAGCTGATGGGACGGGATCGGTGGCTCCTTCAGCCAAATCTGATGCCATCGAGTCATCCAACCTGGCCGACTCCAAGCAGCTGCGTGAGGCCGGGAGGCCGGTCTTGGACATGATGATGGAGGAGTCGTCGAGCGACAGCGACAGCGATGACGACAGGGTCATTCCGATGAGGCGTGGGAGGGAGGGGGCGCGGGGGCTGTGGGGTGGGAGCGGCTTGGCTGACCATGACATTGTCGAGGCCGTGAGGAAGGTGCACGGCCTGGAGAAAGTCGCACTTAGGCTGCACAAGGTCAGTCGACACACATACACGTCGACACTTGTGATTGATTATGTCCGTCTCCCTCTCTATCAGGGCGAGGTGTCTGCTGGTC